GCTCTGACACTAAAGTTTAGGTATGATTTTGTAGAGTATTTCGCAGTGCATCTTTTAGAAAAAAACATTAACCTTAAAGTCTTAAAGGAACAAGCGAAAATTGAAAAATATTTCTATTTAAATCAAGTATGTACATATCAAAAGTAATCGCTAATCTATACTGATAATATACTCTATATAGGGTGGTAATTGTACAATATTAACAAAAAATGATGCCAATGATTTTCAGTCGTTATTAAATGCTATGAAAATATTGGGTTTTACGAGAATTGAACAGGAAACAATATTTAAAATATTAGCAGCCGTATTGCATCTTGGAAATATTTATTTCACGCATGCTCTGGTAGATTATTATATGTTGTCAAAATGTTGTTCAAGTTAAATGATTTTGTCTTACTTTTAGGATGATCCTGGTCATGATATAATTCAAATCAGTACAAAATCGGAAGTTGAATGGGCTGCACATTTACTTAGTTTAAATGAACAAGGATTATTACAAAAACTGACGCATAAAGTAACAGAGGCTCGCGATGAACGACTGCTAACACCGTTTAATCTAGATCAAGCATTGGATTCGAGGTATGTTATAAAATAAATTATATGGTTTAACTTTGATTAGGAATCAAATCCGATTTCGTTCGTTCATACGTCGATCGATAGAGGATACCGATCTAGTGAAAATCCTAAAGGGAGTTTTCCCTACGGCTCTTGAAGACCCGGTTTTCTAGAAAACCAGTTTTTCAAAAACTCTAAAAAATAACCCAAACCTTTCTTAATAAGGCATAATTGTAGCCCGTAAATTTCTGCTTAAAATGAGATATCCACCAGCTCTACACCACCTTTCTTTACAAAGTTATAGAATTTACAGGAAAAGCCCTAAATCAATTTCGTCTTATTTCGGTAGCTTTGAGATGACAATTAACATTTAAGGTTGCTCTTGTAAATTCTATAACTTTGTAAAGAAAGGTCGTGTAGAGCTGGGAGACGTCTCATTTTAATCAGAAATTTGCGGGCTACAATCAGGCCTTATTAAGAAAGGTTTTGGTTATTTTTTAGAGTTTCTGAAAAACTGGTCTTCAGGAGCCATGGTTAAAAATGGGGTTTTTACTAGTTCGGTACTCTCTATTGATCGACGTATGAACGAATGAAATCGAAAGGTATCACTTGAATAGGTTTCCTCGTAAGTAATGCTCTATCATTGGGCTATCGAATACACAGTCTAACAGATATTAATTCTATATTTTATTTTATCACCCGTAGTGAAATTGTTTTTAGTCATATGCCATTGGCTTATCGGTTTTTGAGATGGAAGTGAAAGAAAGAAATAATCATCAAATCGTATTCTTCTTCTAAAACAAAATCATAATTTATATTATAATTGATTCTGTTTCAGAGATGCAATTGCCAAAGCATTATACAGTACCTTATTTAGTTGGTTAGTTGCTCGAATAAATCAAATTGTTCGAGGAAAGTTACATGTTGAAAATTCGATTGCCATCCTAGATATATTTGGGTTTGAAAATTTTTCATTAAACAGTTTTGAACAATTATGTATTAATTATGCCAATGAAGCACTACAATTTTATTTCAATCGACACGTCTTTAAATTAGAACAAGTAGGTGAAAAAATAGATAATATCTACTATCCATTTTAAAGTAGATCTTATATCGCTGAAATCCTTCTTCATCCAGAAAAACCTCATCCGGTATTCCTCTAGAGATCCAAGAATTTTTACGAATTTTTATATGAGAAGACAGTGTGAAGTCTCCTCTGTGTAAAATTCGAGTTTAGCTCTTATCATTCTCGAATTATTCAAAAGATAACAGAAAATCTTCTATTTTGAAATGAACAATAATTTCAAATAAACAATAATTCGTTTTTTTATTCAAAGGAAGAATATGTCAAAGAAAAACTATCGTGGAAACGAATTGAATTTATGGATAATACGGATTGTTTAGATTTAATTGGTAAAAAACCAAATGGAATAATACCAATTTTAGATGATGAATCTAGTTTTCCACGAGCTACGGATCAATCATTTTTACAAAAATGTCATTTTGCTCATGTAGCTAATCCATTATATGGGAAACCTCGTTTACTGAAATCGATATTCAGTATTAAACATTATGCGGGTGAAGTAGAATATAATGTGAGTGAAACAACAAAAATGAAATGTAAAATGTTTTATATATAATTCAGTTTTTTAGGTACGAGGCTTTTTAGACAAAAATCGTGACATGCTTAGAAGTGATGTGATTGATTTATTTTCATCAAGCAAAAATACAGTATGACTAATAGACAAATTTTTTCGAAATAATGAATTATCTTATTATTCTAGATGTTATCACTCATGTATAGTGATATCCGAGAGTTGTACGAAAGTCATAAGTAGGGTGATAGACAATCACGATTATGTATATAGTCAACATATCTTTTGTTTTTTAGGGGATTTAATCTCAAAACCGGCCGATTTATTACGATGAAAGCGAAAACACCCACTGTCTCAGCTCGATTTCATGACTCATTGAATCACTTATTAGAAATTATGACACAATGTAATCCTTATTTTATTCGTTGTATTAAACCAAATAATGAAAAATTAGCAAATAAATTAGAATTATCAGTGGTCTTAGAACAACTGAAATATACGGGTGTGCTTGAAACAATAACAATAAGAAAGCTTGGTTATCCAAGACGGTATAAATTTGATTATTTTGCTAAACGGTAAGCAAATTCATATTTTTAGACACAAATCTAAATTCATATTTTTCTTGTAGATATCGATGTTTGTTAAATGATCATTTTCTTAAAATAGATCTTTGTCATTTACATTTACATCATCACCACCATCATCATTCCGTAAATGGATCATCACTGGAAAATGAAGCGAAAGAGATAATGATTCGTGTTCTCAGTGGTTTACCTTCAAAATTTGCTTCGCAATACCAAATTGGCGTCACAAAAGTATGAGGATATATTCTATTGATAAGATTGAAGAATAGAATAATCTTTTATGATAGATATTTCTACGCGAATCATTAGAACAACAATTGGAACAACAACGTTCAATATTATTGAATCAAGCTGCCCTAATTATACAACGGACATTGAAAAGTTATATAGATCGAAATAAATTTATAAGGCAACGAAATGCAGTTATCATTTTACAAAAATCTTATCGTCATTGGTCTCAAAAGTAAGTGTTGATATTCAGTTACTATTATTGTTGATATTTTTATAAAATTAAAATCTGGTCTATTATATTAACACAAAAAACTAATAAGATAAACTCATTTGAAAACTAGCACAACCATGGACTAAGATCATCGGAGAAATTAGATGGAGCGCAAAAATGAGATGATTTTTAACACGAAAAGAATGTAAATTTCATTATAAAGCTGAGCTATTATACATGCATCATCGTGTTCTTTTGTTGTATTTAATCAAGTTTATTAACATTGTTGAATAAACTTTAGTTGTGTACTAATCATAATTACTTAAATGTCACAGACATAAACATTAGAAAACGGATTAAGACAAATTAAGTAATGAACAGACAATAAACACTGATAAAAGTTTGTAGTGAATGTTCACTTTTTCAGTTAACAGTTTTTTTTACATCATGTCAGCATCACCTGTAAAACGCACAAAAGTTGAACGGAAAACTAGTCTTGGTACATCGATAGCGCGAGCAATGATATCGATGTCACCTGATATTGATCTATACGGTAGTACTATTACTCAAGAACATAAATCGACCATAATCGATTCTGAATCATGTTTAACGAATAAGACATGTCAATCAATGCTTTCACTTATATCCGATGATACGTGTTTATCACACTCAACACATATAAGTCACATTTATTCGAGTTCTAATACATTATATTCAGAGTAAGTGAATCTGACTTTTTACTGATAAAATAGATATTCATTTTTTATGTGAATTTGCGCTATCACAATTTTAATTTCTTTAGGCGAAGTTCCATGTCAAAAACAACTATACATGATGTGAGTATTCTTGCGTATCTTCATTAATTAAATATAAAAATGGACGAATTACATTCTAGACCACATCATTTAATTTATTGGATATACCAGCTGAATTAACACTCGTTTATAGTCGTATCGATGGTAGATATACGATAAATTTTAAAGTCACTATTACTATATATTGTATCTATAGCTTGGGATGAACAACACACAGATCAACAATTGTATGAATCAACACAATCCATTAGTCGGACTATAGAACATTGCTCGATACCAGATGATATAAATAATTATCCATTTATGAAATATATCACTTCAAATACAACGGTAATGTCATACAGAAAGAATATATTCAAAAATATTTTATATAATAACAAAATCTGATGCATAATTTAAGTGTGGTACAAAATGGGATAGAAAATTAATACCGATTAATGAACCGTTTACAGTGACAACGCTTAATGAACAACAATATCAATTAGCCTTAGTACTATTCAAATTGGTATGAATAAATGTATTGTTTTCCACTACAGATAGTTTTTCTCCTATCCTGTATAATATTTATCTAACATTATAAAAAAAAGTCTTGTAAATGAATGTTTTTTGCATTTAGATTTTGAGATTTATCAATACAAGTGAATATGATAAAAAACGTGATCGTGCACTGGGTGACTATATTGTACAATTGGTAAACTCATTCTAAACCGTTTATAAATGCCTCTCTAAATTATGTTTTATTTAAAAGGGTCTTATGAATGAAATACTGCGCGATGAAATTTTTGTTCAAATTTGTAATCAAACGTGGAATAATATTGATAATGTTAAATTAACAAAGGCATGGCTATTAATGTTAAATGCTATGAGTTGTTTCGCACCATCACCGTTATTGTATAAATTTTTACTCAAGTAAGAAAATAATTCATTTCTCTAACTGACTGATACCAAAATAAACACTGTTTCATTTGTTAGATATGTATCGGATAATGCAACGGATGAATCAAAACCTTATTGTCAACAAAAACTTTTATTTGCTAGTGAAGCTGATTCACCACGAACATATCCACCTACACATCTAGAATGGGCATCAAATATAAAGGCACAAAATATGGCACTCAAAGTCCAATTTGCCGATAGTAATACATCGAGTTCTTAACGAATCGAATGTTATACAAATTTTTGTTTTAGATTACCCTATTGTTAGCGAAATTGAATCATGGATGACTGGTGAAGATTTTGCTTCAACTCTACTCGAGTCACGCGGTATTCATAATGCAGCCTATCGCAATGGATGGTCGCTAACATTGAATGATGAATGTGACAATGTTGAATTAATGGGTTATGATTACGTATTGGATTTAATTAGTGGAATGGAAATTGCTCCCTGTTTTCCAACGTGTAAATCATTTTATCTTGTCCATACCAATGATGAATATAAATTATCTGAAGAAAAAAGAAATACAACATTCAGGTAAATTCTCACTTTTAAAAACTTCACAGTTGATAATTCGGCAGAAACTCACGTAGCCGACAATCATTTGTTTTTGAATTTCGTTAACATGTGAAAGAGCATGACCTACAGATGTTTCTATCTGTAGATATCGGCATAAAGACGCTGTGTTTGACTGGTCTTTGAACGCTGAGAATTCTCATCTTAAAACAAAATACTTGACATCTGACGATGATGCAAAATTAGTAAAACATAAACAATCAACATCATCGCATCATGATCATCATCATTTTGATCACGAAAAAAGTGATGACATCATATATAGTCCAGGACAAACTAGTCAGATACAAAAGTACAGCAAATATCATTCTCCGTTATACATTGAAATTAGCAAACATTCATCTTCTGAAACTGAAAGTTTTGATGAACAATACAATTCACCATCTGACGTTGATGACAAGCCACTATCAATGTTAAGAGACCCATCAGTACAGTCGTTTATTTCATATAAAAGTGAACCGATACATCAACAAATCAGCAGTCGTAGTAGTGCAGAAGGTGCTAGTACACAAGAAAGTGTAATTCCAGCTATAACAGAAATGATTTTCAAGGATGAAATTCATCAAAAACCATCTACCATCAAGATGATTACTTATATTCCTCCAAGTCCAAAAACACAACCTCCATCGAGGGCGAGCAATAGAAACGTTACATTCAGGAGAAATACACAGCAGTCAAGTATAAGAACCCAACCTCATCCTTCAGAAACAATTCGAACAGTACAATTAGGTCCGAAATCATCCATAAAAAAAACTGAATCAGTTCAAAAAAAATCGCTGAAAATGCTTCAAGAACATCATAATTCCAAAATGTCATCCATGAGACAATCAACAACGTCATCACATCGCACGAAAGATTCGGGATGTGGTGGACACTTTTTATCAAAAATTCCTGCTCTTCGCTGTTTTCGGTCATCAAAAAATTCATCGTTAAGTAGGAAATCATGTTCAACAATTAAGCATGATGATTATCAACATTCTAAGAAGCGACGAGTTTTAATACAACCAACAGCATCGACAAAAACAAAAAACAACGGTTCAAAAGTTGTAGAAATAGCTGAACAACAGGCTATTATTGTGAGGTATTGAAATGCATGATTCGACAAGAATGAATGGGTTATTATCGATAACGCATGTGAACGATTCATATAAGCATGGAATGTACTGCTTTGTAAGCTTTAGTCAATTTGTGATATAAGAAACTTCATTCTTTTGTTTTTGGATTCTAATTAGCACGACTCCCCAGGTCAAAGAATCGTACTATGATCGTATCTGAATCAGACAAAATCGTACCAAATCGTATGAAAATCACATATGAATCGTGGTATCTGATTTGTCCTCTGGATCGTATAATAGGATCGTACAAGATCATATACGATCATACAACTTCGTATGAAATCGTACAGTACGGGCCAGACGACAAATCAGGTACCACGATTCGTATGTAGATCGTACATAATCGTATATGATTTCGTACGATTCGTATACGATCTTGTACGATCAGATAGTACGATTCAATCACCTGGGTCTATCTTCACTATAAATTCATCGTGATATTTCTTTTCATAACACTATTCATTAATACATTTTATTCTTATTTTAGCGACTACAATGGTATCGATAATCCAACATCTGTTTATGGTGGCTTTTCAATCTGTTCTAATGGAACATTATATCCCCCTCGATATGAACACATTGGTAAACGTTAGAATTGATTAAATAAACTCTTTCTTTCTTCAAAGATACTTTGTTCCAATGAATTAATAATGTTTCGATCGTAGAACGTCTACGGAAAGAATTCATATATTATCTTTCATAAGATATTGCCATAAGAGTGGTCAAAATACGACTGTTCATACTTCCCAAGAGTTTTTCTTGTGAATAGATGCTGAAGAGACTAGATCGCTTTCGAACCTATATTTGAATCTAATACATGCGACTAGAAGTTGACAGTTTTCGAATATTTGTGTTATTTCTTTTTGGCATGCATCAGTACTTTAAAGTCCCATAAGTCTACGGAGAAGTTTTCAGAAATCTTTTCCTCTATTTGATAGCTAGAATAAAATTCAAAAATTAACCTCTGCCAACTCTAGCCGCGTACTTTAGCTTCACTTTGAAATGGATCTTAGCTCTCCAGCATCTATGGGCACAAAAAGTTTTGGCGAAATACGAACCTAAATAAAAAGTCGAGACTAAGAGACAACGCTGTGCAAAATGTATTTTAGGTCTGGTAAGAAAATATTTTAACTTTTTAACACACGATAGCATAGGGTCGTGTTCCAGAAGAGTTTGTTCTACAATTCTCAACATTCACGAATAAAATATGATATCATATGGGAAAGAACCACCCAGTCAAAAAAAAATATCAAGAGGACTATGATGGAGCACTATTTTTTGAAAAAAAAAGAAACCAGTACTCTTTTTCCCAAAAAGAGTGCTCCAAAAAAGGAATAATCTCGATAACCCTTTTTTAAGAATTACTTCGGAGTACTCGAAAAAAGAGTACTCTTGAGTGCTCTTAGTCGCTTTTGAAAAAGGAGTGCTCCGAAAACCGAGTACACCTTCATACTCCTACTTCTGATCTTTTTTTGACTGGGTAGTATTTGAACATGTTGTTTTACGTGGCTAGAAAGTGTTCTCGAAAGCAGTGGAAAATTACGTCTAGGGTAGACAGCGATACGGATTCTGAAATTATACACTCTAGGCTTTTTGACTATGTGCTTAGCTCAAAATCGACTTTCCATTCGGAATACGAACCTATGTAAAAATTGTATATACAAGCAAATTTTATTGTTGTATTTTCACACATTCTTTTAAAACACTGTGATGCAGATCACTTTGTGATTAAAACGTCACTAATTTATTATAATAAAGTGTTTTTAAAAAAGAAATAGTTTATTTAAATAATTCTACTTTATCATGAACTTTCTGACATTGGTAAAAACGAGCACAGTTTTAGATTAAACGTGAGCTTCAGATATTCCGATAGAAATCAAGGAATTGATGGCATATCGTTTTGATCTAGCGAATTATTGTACTTTTTTTGTTTAGGATCAACAGCACCAAATGGAGAGAATCAAGTTTGTATTCACGATATACTCGTTAAAATATTAAAATTGAGAATATTTTTCTAGAATGAATGTGAAATTCAAGGTGATTATCGATTTTCAAGTGATGAGTCCGATATGCAACCAGATTATCAACAAGAATATACTAATCTAAAAGAGGAGCAAGTGAAAGATTCGAAACCTAATACAAAGTAAGATTTTTGAAGAGACTACCACCTATGATTTATTTTCATTTTATTTCCTTCCATTCATATACTGAACTGTTTTTTCCATGAAAGGTTTATTAAAAACAAGAATGCACGAAACACTCACAGTTGTTTACAAACGAAAACACTTGAAAAGAAGAATCCATTGTAAGTAAAATATAGTGATTAATTTTTTTCGGTCACTGGAATTAGGCTCTTATTTATTCAAAGATTAGCTGCAGATACTGAATCTATTGCTACCATCTCTGAAATTCCCATACCAAATCATAAATCAGACGTTGAAGCATTTCTCGATGATTTATTTGAACGTGCTCTGTTAGAATCAAATTTGAATCGAAGAGCAACAAAAGTTAATAATATTCAAATATCCACCTATAATCAAAAACGCTTTCAGTTAATATCAAATTCAAAAGTTGAACCACTATTACGGCAACGAACATCATTACAGAAAAAAGATGGTAAACGAAAAGTCATCGTAACTGATGCATCATTAAAATCAAAAAAGCCGAATAAAAAATCAAAACACATGATTACTACTATTGCCAATGAAAATTATGATGAATTAAATCAACAGAAGAAGAGACGCATTAAGAAAAAAGATAACTATCAAAATCTGAATAGGAATAATTCAGCATGGAATGATAGTATGTCATCATTTTTAACGACACCAGCTACTACTACTATCACTACAGATACGGATAACAATGATCCTGGTATATCAGAAGTTACATCGTGTGATGTACCATCTGTAATGAATATTGGACGAAACTATTGTCAAACAGATATGATGGTGGATGAATCGAGTGAAAAACATTATCATCATCCAATGAATGTAAAATACTTCGATCGGAATAGACGTCATCATCCTCATAATAGAGTTGTTGTTAGAGAGCCTCTGTGTAGTTTTCATACGAAAGTAAAAGAAAAGATGCTTACTCGAAATTCAAATGGTAGACAGTATCAACGTCGATGGCCACCACCAACACAGTCACCAGAATTACAAAAATGTCTATCTCCAAAAGCACGTATGTCTCCATTTTATATATGACGTCGGACACTACAACACGAATTGAAGGAGCAAAATGTATAGTTGAAAGCAAGGTACTTTTTTTGAATCATTCAAAAATTAATTATACATTCATATACATAAATAAACGTTTAAAAACAATCTAAATTCTTGTCTATTATTGCGTCATGTGATGCTTGAAAAGAAAGATTGTGTTCTTTGTAGTTGGTGATGTTATGAATCTTAGAACATTTCTGTTCGTTAGCTAATGTACGCAAAAGAAATTTTTAATTACCGTATATTTTTGAAAAAAACTTTTTGATCCTTGTTTCTCCTGATCCATCAGAAAACTTAAATCAGATCGAAAATCAAATCCTAGTGAGCAACGTAAGAGTAGATATTTATGTTAGAGATCTGTAGACTATATTGATTAAATTGGCTTAAAGCCTTTAGAAGTCTTTATTTCAATTGGGATCACCTGTTTTCACATAAATGCTTAGTTCTAGACAAATATATTTCTACACACTGTGTGAATAAGACTTATTCGATATCTATTTATTATATACAGCTGGATTCATCTACTAGCATCTTATTTTCTCCTTCAACAAATAATAATATTATTAATGATAATCAACAAATTATTGTTACAAATAATAATGTAATTTCACAACCATTTTTGAATGCTGCTATTGCAGCTAAAAATGGAATTAGTCTAATTCCTCTATCTCCTTCTGTTTGTCTATCGACAACAATTCCTGGATTAACTACAACAACCAATATTTCATCAACAACAAAAAATGGTCCAATGTTCGTACCCGTTATTGAAATTAACTATCAAAAATATTTGCCAGTTTATCTTAAACAAAAACCAGCATCACGGGTGAGCGAGAGTGAACATCTTTTATGTAAATGATCTTTGAATTTTATTATATGTTTGTTAGATAAACCAAAAATTACAAAATAGAATACAAAGTAAAGCAGATGATGAGCAAGATAAACCGATTTTATGTGTACCTAAGCGTAATTATACAATATTTTAAAAGTATTTAATTTAACTAAATCGGAAATTTCTCATTTTAGCTCAGAATAAAACAACCTCTCAGTTAGTTATAACTCAAAAAAATAATAATGTAAAAGATGAATCTCAATATTCAAATATTCCACATTTAAATGGTTCATCGCCCATTGATTTAAAATTAAATGTTCAGCGTTTATCAATGTCAAATTTGGATAAGATATCCGGCCGAGATAATCTTTCTCAGACCAACTATGAATACCATAATGGTTTAACAGATCAAATCTCAAATGAACTTTGTCAAAATGATAATCCGAACACAAATATCCAAACTACAAAGTATAGATCCCTACGTGGCCTCTTTGAGCTGAGAGAAAAACATTTAAATTTTATTTTATTTTAGTGCCAACAAACAAAATATAAAATTATTGGTTAATCACTCATCTGTCGAAGTACAACAACAACGAGCGAAAACCATACGTATAGGAAAAGTTAGATGGCCACCTGCATTAAATCAAGAAGAAACAATCACTACAGACTTAGACAGGTCGACTTTTCAAGATAGATCTTTATACGTATCTATCTTGTTTCTCCTTTTGTTATCTCAGAAATGTTTACTTTAATTAGGCGTACAGAGATTCAACGACGAATTCACGAAGAAATTCTCGGCCATGAAACATCGGATAAAGTGACTGTAGAACGAGTAAGTTTAGATTTATCAAAAGATCATACTGCTCGTAGTCCAGAGTACCAAATCCGTGAGATGAACGATAGTATGCTCATAAAATGTATTCCAATTGGTGGTGTTGAAAATCATCAGTCACAATCAGAAGATCACTCTAAAAAGTATCATCAATCTTTTCATCGTACAAGTCCCTTACAAAAACAGCCATTAACATCTTCAGCAGATAAAGATCACAAACAAATTTTAAAAATCAATGGTGCTTTAAGCAGTTCTACTGAACCGACATCTCTAATCGATTCTGATCTGGAGAGTGCAAATGCAGATTGGCGAATGATGAATGGTAACAATGGAAAATATCGTCATAAGACGTTAACACCTATGTAAAGAGAGAAAAAATATGAATAAGATATAAAATTCTATTCTCTTATGTTTTGTTATAGGATTGGTAAAGAAAATTTTGAATTACGAAAAAAACTATTTGAACGTCTGAATGAGAAACAAGATATCGAAGGTAAGACTAATCTAATGTCAATGTTTGAAGAGTGAATATCCTTGTTTACAAAGTAATAGCTAATTAACAAAAGCATGACTAAATCATCATCTATTATCCTATATGACTTTGTGCATGTATGACTTTGTGAACAATAATGTATCGTATTGAAACATTAACTGAGGCTAGTACAATATCACATGACTATTTTGGATGTTGCCGCGAATTGCAGTCCGGATTATTTGCTGAAGTAGGAAGACTTATAAGTTATTTTGAGGGCATCAATGATTTGAACAAAAACATAATTCAAATTATCTCACCATCATCATCACAGATTCAAAATTTAAATGATGATAGTGCAGATGGTGGTAATAGTGTATGTCCATCGTTGACTGTTTCACGTCAGAAGCATGTTGAACGAAGAAAAAATCGTCGAAATATAAAAAAAGATTCTATTACAACCACTATCATTACTACGTCGGCAAATTTTGTATCTCAAGCAAACACTATTACTCCAGTGACAATAGAAAATAATAATTCTTCGAATAGTAAAATTAATAAAAACAGTAATGATAATGGTAATTGTGAACAGCGAACATATAGTCAAAACACATCAAATATTGATCATACAACACTATATAGTTCAAAATCGATTTCGAATGAATCAAAAATTTATCAACATGTAGCGGAAGTACCAACTACAATCAATTATAATAACGATAAACCAATATTAACAACAATCATCAACGAACAGCACGAAGAACTAATACCATCCAACGTCTTTCCAGGAGAGACGAACGATAGTGAACATAAATCCTTGATCGATAATAATCTAACAATCCGTTATCGAACATATTCTGATATAATTACATGTCAAACATTAAGAAACACAGATTCAAGAATATCTTATCATCATTCGGATCCAGAAATATCACCTGTTAACAGAACATTAAATCAACGTTTAGAACATATTAATACATGGTCGAGATGTTTGAATAATGAGCGTACTACATGTCTAAGAGTTGATAATTCTTCTGAAAATCGGTTTTATAATCATCGAAAAATGAACAAACGATTGAGAAGTCCACCATCGTATATAAAAGAATTGAAAGCATATCTGGCACATCGTGAGGCATCAGTTACAGATGTGATTCATATTCGAGATATGAAAAAAATTAGTAATGTATTAGTGTGGCTAGCCAAACAACCAACACCCGTTTTTCAACGTGATCAATCATCTAGAGCAGATTGTACTTCACCATTCGATGTTTCAGTTTCACCTAATCGTATTGTAAATGCACTAAATAGTACATCGATTGAAGTTAACAGCGAGATTATTGCAACACCACTGAGTGAAACTGTTCACCTTCATACACCAGATATGTTAGAACGAAATTCAATATTATTTTCTGCTCATCATTCATATACTTTATTGAAAAATACGCCAACAAGCAAAACTATTGAATCAACATGGAAGATACCATTGAGACCTCAACAAGACAAATTTATTGAAAAAACTTTTGGTATTGATAATTTGGTAGAACAACGTCAAGATGATTCGTCTACTGAGCAGAATATTATTGATAATATGATGAATGCAGTACAAAATGAGCAATCATGTTCAACACACCATATTAATAATCCACTCTGTTTAAATCAACAAAATTGTATTATTATTTTAAATGAACATGAACGACAATCATCGGCACAATCAAATAATAAAATGGTTAATAAAGAAAATGATTCAATCATTATTAATGAAATTTTACAATATTCAGGTTCACACAGGCTACTAATTTTATTTTTATATTTTTAAAATTATTCTCTTCCTATTATTAATTTGAATTCATTTCTTTAATTCTTTAAATTATTTTACAGTCATATTTTATTTTGCTAATTTCTAATATTCGATATTCATTGTCCACACTTTTCGCTTAATTATTTCGTATCTCACCAGTATGCTTAATTACCATCATGTTCAAAATACAGTACTGATCGTCGATTTTTGAATAACTCATGAGCAAAACTAAAGAAAAAAAGATAGTTCTCAGTATTTCGAAGTTAAGACTTGCATACATCTTTTCGTATGAAAAGATTTTCTTTTTCTGGACAAGTGCAACTGTTTGACACAATTTATATTTATCGGAAAAACTTGAGAACTTTCGTGTACGTCTAAAATATACAGTGCTAGACTAGTTTTATTAAACAGTAAAAGTTTATATCCAAATCAAATTAAACTTGATTCGAATGAGCTTAAACTTTAGATTATGATCACAGCAGGCTCCTGTAAGTATAAAGAATGGAAAAAAGGACAAGTTGAATAAAGAGATCTGGCTAGATATTTTACATATAGAAACAATCGATCTTTCGCATTTCATTATGCAGAACAACTTCTAACTATAGGTAGATCTTGAGATTATTCAGCACATTGAAATCGGTTTACACAGTGATGTAAATTCTTAATATTCAGCGAAACTAGTCTAACACTGCATATTTTTGAAAAACTATATGTTTTTAAAACTTTTTAAACGTTTAAAATCAAGCATTTCCGTTTAAACTCGTTTGATCGACTGTATTTTGAAAACGACTATGAAAATAAAAGAAAATCAAATAAATGATAATAAATTTCAGTTGTATTATTTCTCATACTGATACTTCTATCCTTCTTCGTTGTTGTTTTTTTACTATTTATGTCTCTTAATGACAATAGAATCTTCTTCTAAACAAAATATCAGATCGTTATAATAAGAAAACGATGACTATTCAACATTTGTAATCTTATGTAGACGTTTCCATATACTTGATCAATCAAAATATTTCATGTAAACTTTTTTCATATGTCTTATAATTCAATGAAATGTAGACTCTTCATTATATTGATAGATAAATTTTTAATAACAAAATATTTGTTTTTATTTTAGAATCAATTTCGAATGGCGAAAATATTTCAAATGATCCGACTAAAAAATATTCTAGAAAACCTACCAGTATTCACATTATGTATGACAAAGTTCCATGGTCATTACATATTCGAAAAGAGGTCAAATAATTAAATATTTATTAATAAATATTAATAGAATATCAAATAAATTTCATTTAGGTATTTTCACCGTGTGAAATTCTTGAACAACCTCTCTTAATTGATTTAATATTTTTACAAATTGTACAAGATACATTTTCATCATCATGTATTCGAATCAATAATGATGAACGTTTATCAATGAAAACTTTATTAGGTAGATCATTTAATTTCTTTTTTTTTTCTGATTTTATTTTTTAATTTACATAAATACTTCTTTTTTTTTCTTTAGCTACCAATGGTGTTATGTCAATCGTAGACATTGATATAATCAAAAAATTATCAATAAAAGAATTAATTATTGAACAAGCAAAACAATGGTCAACATATTTTTATCGTTTATTTCCCATATCTGTAAGATAATTATAAAAAATTTTATTTTTATTTTAAAAAAAAAGATTCTTTCTATTTTAGATGTCAAAATATAATAATAATGTTAAAATATTAGGTATATCTCATACTGATGTAAGATTAATTAAACGAACAAAGACCTCGACAATAGATACACTTCATGTTATTGAAACATTTCGTCTTGAAGATATTCTTCATGTATCAAATATTCGTATTCAAACAATTAATATTCATTTATCAGGAAAACAAATTAAATTACATTCAACGAAAGTAAGATGTTTATTATAAAAAAATAATATGGTTTTTTTGTTTTTTTATCTAATCAATCTTAAATTTTTTATTTTTAATAGACAAAAAAGATTAAACAAATGATTGAAACATTTTCAAAAGAAATTGGATCGGTAAACTATAGTCACATATTTCTTAAATATTATTATTATTCATTGATTAATAATATAATAATATTTTTCTAGATATTTTATTTTGTACAAGCCATTCGAAATCATCATATAAAATCATTACAATCAAATTATCTTAAATTTTATACCGGTGATATTATTAAAATATTAAAATTTCGACCAATGCCAGATGGTTAGATATTTTAACATAGAAAAAAAAAAATATATATTTCCGTTTATTCTATATTTCATAGGATGGCTTTATGGTATAATCAATAATCGAGAAGGTCATGTACCTATTGATTATGTTCGATTTATTTCTCAACAAGAAATTTGTAACGTAAGTTATAGTTCATATTAATTTATAAGAAAATATTTTAATAATGAAAATAATTTTAGAAACATCTTGAAAAAACATGTTCATTAACAAATAGTGATGGATTAAAATCATCAAGTTTCGATAGTTTGAGTGGTAGTCGAACATTTAGTGAATTAATTACATCAACATCAATGGATATAAATAATATATCTCAATTAATTCCTAGAGAGGCATCTTCCGGTTGTACATTGCCAAGTACTTATTCGATGATGGAATATGCATTACAAAATTTTAAAATACCACATCGACGGTAAATGAAAACAATATTTAAATAGAACAAATGAATCTAATGAAATGATATTTGTTTATTTTGTTTTTTTATAGAAAAGGAAAAAAAAGTTCAAAAAATTCAGGTTTTTAACAACAAAAAAATTTTATGTTTTTTAAGATTTGAAATAAACAAAAACAAAAAAAAATAGTTTTAATTTTAATTTAGAGTGTACATGGAATGATTATTCTGATTTAACCAAATGGAGTAAGGTTAGTAGAAAAAAAGATAATAAGAATTATAAATACAAAATAGAACTTTTTGTTTTTTTTGTTATCATTCTAGACACCGATTCAATCACCTTTACTTCGACAAACACCGAATGATATTTCAAGAACAGCGCGACAATGTTTTATCGGTAAAACATTCAGACATATTTGTCTATCTCGTTCATTATTTGGATATTTTTTGTTTTTGTAGCTATTATGCGTTTTATGGGTGATCATTCAATGGGACGAGGACAATCTGAAATTGATTGTATTCATTATCTTCTCAAAGTATGCCAGAGAATTCAATGTTAATCGCATGTTAAAATTGATAAACATTTTTTTCATGCATCTTCTTTATATAAAAAATTTTAATCGATACATAATTGACTAATGAGAAAACTCGGCCTCTCCACATATTAATTAAATTGCTTTTTTTTTCTTCTCGAAACATCCTTGATGATGGATAATCTTTGCTGTTAATCATCAATCTTCGATTCGTTTGTCTTCCTATTTTTTCTCGCTTGAGATATCGATTCTCTGAAGATTCATTATAAATCATGGAAATAGAAATTCAGATCATGTCAGTGTATAGAATTCATCGAGTTACTTGTACAATAAAGTTTTTAACAATTACCAAACACCTTTTAACAGAATTATTAAAAATATTTTTACTTTCCAATTTCAACAGAAATCCTACTCAAAAATTTTTATAATTCGTTTCAAAGTTCTGCAGTAATTTTAAAAATTTTTTCATATATATAACTTCATATGATCTGAATCTTTTGTTTCAACAATTTATAATGAATCTTCAAAGAACCGATTTTTCATGCGCTCTTTTCACAGAACCTAGGAGACACACGTGATCAATACTAAAGATTGTCTAGAATCAAGTATTTCAAGGAAAAGACAATTCAAGACTTGCGAAGAGTTTTCATTGGATTAAATTAAATAAATAAGATTAAAAATCATGTGAAACACTTTTGAGAATAAATATTTCTTATTGCCTATTCGTCGTTCTAAAAAAGTTGTGTTTTTCCAAGACTAAGCATGACCATTGTCAATAAAAACATTTTTTTCAGTTCTTTTTTGGTTTCTATTTAGAATATGTATAAACATCGTAATTTGGTAGACGAAATTTATAGTCAGCTACTTAAACAATTAACAAATAATAAGAGTTCTAAATCGAATAGTTTAAAACGTGGTTGGACATTATTATCTATTATTACAAATTATTTTATACCAAATGAACAATTTCGACCATATGTATTAAAATACATTAATGATAATATAACAAATTCTGCTAAAGAAGGTAAATATTCATTTGAATAAATTGCTACATAATCATTTTTTTTTGTTTATTCAAAGTTCAAACGTGTTTAAAACATTATAATCAAACGATTAAATATGGTGGAAGAAAAAATGTTCCAAGTCAATCAGAAATTGATATTACATCGGTAAGTAGACTGAAATAATTCTAACATTTATAGTCATTGTTTAAATTTATGTTTAAAGGATGTTCGTGCTTCAAAACGTCAAACTCTATTGCTTCCTGATGGTCTACCAATCATAATTCATATACAACCTTCAATGGTAACATTTATCACATTATTTTTATACATATGAAAGTATAAATTTTTAAAAATAGATCATTGGCGATTGTATTAGTCAAATATGCGATCGTTTGAATGTCACTAATCCATTGGAACAAGATGAATATTCCATTTATGTTATTAGTTCGGGTAAAATTATTCAATAATCTTTTTTGTCTTTTATGAAAGAATGAGGGTATTTAAACTAATTTATTTTACAATTCTAAATTATAATCATTTTTTAGAACATACATCTCGTTTACTCAATCCAATAGAATATATATTTGATATTCTAAATGATCGTTTAAAAACACATATTGGGGAAAATCATTTTATTGTTAAACGATTGTTATGGTATTTTTTACCGTTAAATTTTGATAGAGAATTATTTGTTAATTTTATGTACAATCAAATAATACCAGATTATTTACATGGAACCATGATTATTATACAACAACATGAATTTACGGACGAAAGAGTGGTGAGTAGAGTTGAGTCGAGTTTTTGAGTGTATCACGTACTTTTTATTTTTATTTTAGCAAGAAATATCATTATTAGCAGCATTGCATTATCACACATCAAAAAAAGGAGCATTACCATCTATGTACGTAGTTTTCTCTTTCGCTTTCATTACACATACACATATAGATTTACACAAATGTTGTATTTACTTATGAAGGAGAGAAGTAAAATATTTATTACCAACCACATTGCTAACACTTAAAACTGTACGACCACAAGAATGGACAAACTATATTCATCAAAAATTAAAAATAATTGAATCATTGACAATCTTAGAAGCAAAAATTAAATTTCTAAGTAAGAAATCTTTCTATTCTCAAATATACGTTAGAATTTGTTTGAATGATTGTGTCTAGCTATTTTACAAACATGGCCATTGTTTGGTACGACATTTTATACCGTTCAAGTATGTTATAAATATACAACTCGATCAATTTATATTTTACATTCCATTTTCTCTTTAGCATATTGATCATTTATCTATATCATCACCGTGTTTAATTGGTATTAGTAAAAATGGTCTCCTTTTTCTAGACAAAGACACACATGTAAATTTCGCAAACTCAAGACGAGTTAGGATAAATAATCAATAGTTTTTATCATCCATTCTTTAGGAATCACTGTTCTCGATTCCATTCAATGATGTTGTATCGATTCGTCGTCATCAAAATACTGTCGATATCAAATATGGAAGTTTAGCACAACCAAATCTGATTCAGTGTCAAATTAACAAGGTAAAGTTAGATTAGACATTGAATATGACCGTTGATTGTGAGACGACATAGCTTAGTGGTTTATATTGTTCGTCATATACTTCAGACATATTGTGTTCGAACCTCGGTGCTGAACGATCATAAAATAACCTTGAAAAGTTACTTATGCCATCGCATGTTGGATCACCCATCTGACAGTATACTCACTACGTTGTGACATACTACTATACAGCTTCTCTAGCTGTAAGTTCACGTAAATGTCTGGAAAACTAGTACGTGGTTAGTAGTGTATATGAGGAGGAGTTCAAGTAACTGAGCAAAAGAACTCGGCGTCAGACTAGCCTTGTGGTCAGAGCTGTAATTGATGACTAGTAACGAGATGGATGACCATGTCAGAAGCTTGTTAGATGTAGAGAAAATATCGAACTAATGAAGCTGCCATTCGGCAGCACCCTACATCGATAATCGTACATGGGAATATTCGTCCTACTGTGAACTAAAATTTTTTTTCTTTTTACAGGCACAAGACATGGTTGCTTTAACTGGTCGTTATTTAAGTTTAATTGGTCAAAATCGTATGCCATCAGAAAAAAAAATTGATAATAAAGCGTGCAATGATCCTATTAGTACAATTTTATAATTTGATCGTCGTTTTTTCTTTTTGTATTGTTGTGACTCTCTTGCAAATAGAATCGAATGTTAATACACTTACAATAATAACTTGATCGATAGAATTAAGACGGCTAAGAGTGATCGTTTCAGTTTGCAAAAAGTAAAAAGAAACATAACTTCTTTCAATTATTGATAATCAAGAGGACTTTGTGTGCGGGAGTCAATACATTCTAAATATAATTAAAAAATGTTTGACTTTTTTATTCTTAATAGATTATTGCACATGAACCAGAAAAATGCCCAACAATTATAAAAATATAAATAAATTGAAGGTTTGTTGTTGTTGTTTTTCTTGAACGAGAGAAGCGTGTAGCGTGAAAAATAAGTTGCAGAAAACTGATATGATTAGATGAAACAAACTTACTTTGTAAAATCAAAACAAACAACTTTCTTCTCTAGTTGTGCTAAGATAATTATACAGAAAAAAAGACAGTATGAAAATAGTTATCATAGAACGTTATCTGACTCCCAAGAACAAAAATAATTCATCTCTTAAACGTTGAGCAGACATGAAACAAAAAGAAAGAAAAAAAAATACTGACTTAAAATTGGACTATTAAGGTAATATATTTATCTGACAAAAAAAAAATGTATAAAACAAATAGTTAAGATATCACACATTTTTTGTGTTTTTTCTTTCCTGTTTGATGTTTATTCTTATTAATTTTTTCCTCAATTGCTTTTGGTATATCTGCTTGTGTTATATTTACAAATTGACTTGTTACCGAAGCATTATTCAATGCAGATAATTGACTTAGATTTATATTATCATGATGAATTTTTCGTCGTGAATGATGATGATGTAGTGGTGGTACTGGTGGTCGTAATTGTTGTGATTGATGAATTTGCTGATATAAACGATTATTTACCGTATATTTTTGTTTTTTATTTTGACTATTTGAACTACTTCGACTATCACTGTCATGATGCGTACGCGTACTACCACCAGATGAATGATGATGATAATGATTGGGACGTTGATGTTTCGTAGTTCGTTTCGGTGTTGAAATATACCGTTTTGTTGTTGTTGATGAACGTCGATTTTGATGTGTTGATGGTCGTTGTTGTTGTTGTTGTTGTTGTTGCTGTAATGGTTTTGAATGATCAATGCGTGTCAATGGAAAACGAAGTGTACGTTGAGTAGATGGACGATGTAAGATAGCTTTTACATGATATTGCTGATATTGTTGTTCAAAACAGTTAACTGGTTGTGCATCAGCATGATTCAAAATTTCATCCTCGTCCCCACTACCACTGCTACTATCATCACTATCACTACTCAAATGTTCATGATTTCTTGTTGAACAAGTATTTGCTGTATAGTTTAACGAATGGAGTTGAATAGATCTTTCTAAAACAGAAAATATAAATATGACTTTATTATATAACCTTTGTGAGTGTACATTAGTATAAGAACATAAGATTGTCATGAACCTTTGCTACCTTCTTTCAATTTTTTCAAGCATCAAGTCTCTTCAGTTTAAGAAGCGTTTTATCAAAGTAAGCGTCTTCAATTTATTCTATCATACCGACTAACCTTTGACTGGTACAATTTCTTCTTTTTCTTCTAGTTCTGTTGTATTATCTTCTAAAGTATTTGCTACAAATCTTTTCATATGTTCAAAATCTTCTTCAACTCTTAGTTGTGAACTTTGTTCATTTTTATCAATTACTGATGTTAAATCTGTTGTTGTGGATGTTTTTAATGGCCGTCTTGTTGATACACATGTTTTATATTCTGGCTCTTCCTCCTCATCTTTTCCTTCTACTACAATGACTGATTGTGTTGTTTGAATCGGAACTGTATCAAAAACTGTACAATCAATTGGACTATCTTCACTTGTGCTTGCCGGTGTTGTATTATGAGGATTGATATACTCAGTTTCTAATTCAAGTACCACATCATCTTGCTTGTGCTCTACAAGACAACAGAAATACTCTTAGAATCAGAGAGAGAAAACTACTCTTCATCAATCATACCTGAAATAATATTCTGGCATGATTTACTATGTTTTAATGTCCAATGTACATCTCGACAGTAATGACTACAGTATGCCATACGTTGACAGCTTTGACACTGATAAAAAACGTTATGCTAAAATAAGACAAATGAGTATACAAATTAGAAGAATTAAATATCGCCTACCACCTGACTGGTGGAAAAGGAGATTAGAATACAAACGTTTATTGATTGCGTACTTACTTCATTTTCAATCCTTTGACACATTGGATTTGAACATTTTCGAAATTTATTATTATTCATATCATCATCCGTTTCTCCTAGCAATTGTTGTTGTTGTCGATGTTGTTTTTTATGTCTTTTTGTTTTATAATCGAACATGACACATATAACATGTGATAATGCATAATAAATAGATGGATCTTTAATTTTATACAATGTGTTTGGTCCATATTTATGTCTTAATGCAATTAATAATTCTCTAAAATGCATATTTTCTTTATAAAATGTCATGATATCTTTTTTACATCGAACAATATGAAGAAATGTCAATATCGAATAGCCTAACGAATGTGTTGTTGACTTTTGTTCAGCATATAAGATATGATTAATATCTTGATTATGTTGTTGATGCTGTTGACCACCTAATGCTGCTTTATGCATTATTGTACAACAATAATTCACAAGACGTATTTGCGCACGTTCAGACCACATATCAACATGTTCGGGACATTGAAAAAGAATTGTCAAACATTGTAAACATAATGATTCCATTTTAATAAAATAAGGTAGATATGCTGACGTTTTATATTCTAAATTTTCAAATAAATCAATTAATATGTCGATATATTGCATATCAATTAGATGTGAATAATATTGAATTAAATTTTGTTCAACAATTATTTTGCACAGGCGTATAATAACACTTAGCGAAGGAATTTTTTCTTCAATTAATTGACCATCACGAATTCCAATCATTAATTGATCAAGAAACCACGTTTGTTCTTGAAGCAATGATCGAGCAATATCACATGGTGTAGTGATATTACTTAAAAAATCAAGACATTTTTGTTTGACTAAACGTAAGCGCGGATCCTACAATGAGAAAAATGGACAGATACAAGATGAACTGAAATGCGTAATGTACTCAAAACTTACTTTGTACATCAAAAATACGATATCAACAGCTCCAGCTTCGACAGCATCATAAACAACATCTTGAAAACATTGATAAAAATCAATAACATCGTCTTTTGCTATTAATAAAAGAAAATATAAATAGACGGGAAAATCGCGGTATATAATTATTCAAAAACCTACAAAATTTTTTAAATCCAGTTTGACGAAACGCTTTTGGAGAATGTCCAAGCTGTAAATCACGAAATGTATAATTCGATAATTCAGCACGAGATAAACCAAACAGTAATTGAGATAGATTGAATAATGCTTCTAACTGGCGTGATGCTAGAAAAAGAAAAAAGGCAAATAAATTTGACTCTTCTCAAGAAGGTTGATGCTATTACCCGTATCAGTAATTGGCACCGAAAGACGATTGTCAATTGTTGGAGACCAAGGTGATAATTTGTCTTTTACATTCTGAAAAATTCAAATAAGTTTAAAATTTAACAATTTAAACCGACTAATTCTTACTCTAAGTGTTAATGCATCAATTAATACATCGCTATCAAATAAATTAAGTTCAGGATATGAAAACCATCCATCAGCAAATTGTACAATATCAATTCCTTCAATATCATTTGTCAATACTGATTCATTTCCAAATAATGTATTGCCAGCCAACGCTGTTAATGTAGACTTATTTGACGCCAGACATTGCATATTCAAGAAACATAGATATGAAAGAAAGATGACAACTATTAGAGACAGTAAATATTGCAAAAATGACTTCAACAATGAACTTCTACTGGTGGTAAAAACATGAAGACTTGCATACAAACTGATCTGACGATTTAAACCCAAAGAACAATAAGAACAACACTTGAACTCCTTTATCTGCGGTTGTACTAGAAAAGTGCTAATACACCCTTTCTTGTTTAGGACGAATTGTTAGAATGTAAAGAAAAGCTAATACGTCACTCAATGGAGAAATATGGCGCAAAAATCTTATAAACCACTAGCATATCCTTGGAAGATAGAGTTGCTTTAAAATATATGTTAAATACATCGCATGTCGTTCTTCACTTCGGCAGACACTGCATGCTAAACACTCCATAAAATACCACTTAATACTCATAAGAAGCTGAATATGACAAATCGAAAAGAAATGGCAGTTAGACACAAAGGGTTCGCCACTTCACACTCTTTCGATTCCATCTAGTCACAGTTTTTTTTTCTCTCTGATAATTCTTATTTTAAAAAAAATTTCAGTTTATTTACTCGGGATTAGAAACGTTTACGAACTTAGCCCTACCGTGTTCGATCAGGGTACGCTATAGAACTGAAAAGTTATAAGTGACTATAAGTCACTACTATCAACGCAATTGTGTGTTGGCTGTCTCGTAAAATAGGAGCTAATTTCAATCCTAACGTACTGTGATCGTCTTGCATATCACCAACACAAAAATAAAGTTCATCCCAGGGCGAAGAATCTTGAAATATGATCTTGTACGTTCATACAAGATCTTGTAAGGTCATATTATAAGATACCATAAGATCTTACAAGATTCCACAAGAATCTTGGTTCAAGAACCTTATAAGATTTCACAAGATTTTTCTTACAGCAAGATCTTGTGATAAGGTCTTGTATGATCCTGCAAGATCTGGCGATAAGATCGTGCAAGAAGTGACAAGATCTTGAAAGATTTCATAAGATCATATAAGATTATGTCTCTGATTCTGTACTATAGCTCCCCTACAGGCCCTCTTTAAAAAACAGCTTTTTTCTTTTCATAATATTTTCGAGCATAGGAAGGACCCTGACGTCCTTAGTAACGTGTCTAACCACGTTTCTTATAGCCGTGCACTTTATTTGTGCTCAGCTGATGTGTGCAGTTGGAGAAAGAAAAAATTCTAAGTTTCATCATAAGAACTATGTTTTACATATACTATATATCGTTGCAAACTTTATGTGGTAAGAATGAGTCATCGCTTCTTGTAAGATCTTATAAGATCTTGTAACGAGAAATCGTATGATCTTGTGATAATAACTGACAAGATCTTGCAAGATCATACAACTTCTTGTTACAAGATCTTATAAGATCTTAAGATTTCTTATAAGCTGATCTTGTAAGATCTTACAACAAGAAGTTACAAGATTCCGCAAGATCATACATGATCTTGGGATAAGATCTTACAAGTTCTTGCCAAAAGATCTTGCAGCAAGATTGCATACGAAATCGTCAGATCTTATAAGATCTTGTAAGACGTCTTTCCCCTGGGATGCAGAGTCGCGGAAAAGTGATTTTACGTATCCAGGACACTCGATAAATCAAAAGATTTTCTACTTTTAGCGAGACGTACTACCAAAAGTTCAAGAAAAGTTTTGAAACTCATATTATTTTCTCATGAAAATTTATTTTCCTAAATTTTTCCTAAAACATTTTCCTAAACTGTTGACAATAGTTCTTGATAAAAATAGAAATCTTCTGCGTTATCAAATGTCCTAAATTACGAAAACGCACTTTTCCACTACGCTGCATGAACTTTATTTTTTACCTCATGTTGAGAGGTTTTGCATTTTTAAAAGAAGTAGGACAGACGGCGGAAGGGCTCTGAAGCGGAAGGAACAACCGTTGACTGTAGCTTTGTTTTTGTTCGTAGTCAGTGATCTGTTCAATCCTATTGGCAATCCTGAGCCGTAGTCTAAGTGGAGATATTAAAGCGTTAGCATTCAGTGAGTATCTAGGAATCGCTTATATTAAACACTATAAAGAGACCACACGAATTTATTTAAAAATTTCGCTTATATTATATACATATATTAAGAGATACGAAATTCTATTTTGTTTCCAACCATCACGGTACTCTTATATACCTTGAACCCGTGTTGCACCGGACAAAGATGAATTACAATTACTTTAATGAACGGAGTAATTGGAATAGGAATCGAAGTGGACGGCCGCCTCAACAGTTCAAAAGTCAAGTTAACCAAGTTCAACAACAGCAAAATCAGCAGAATTCTCAAACTACGCTAGCAACAACAAGTAATAGGCAGTATGATATGGAGACGATGCTAAATTATATTCGAGATAATCCACAAGTTGCATTAGGAGTCCATCAACAGCTACTTGAAAATCAGCGAGTTAACTTAACGCGAATACGAATTCCTCTTCACCGCCTATTCAACTACAACTACAATTAATCTCTACTCCTACTACTCATAAAAGAGGCCTCGATGAGAGCACTAGTGGAGGTAGACAAAAATATAAGAAAAATACACAACACAATCAAGATATAAATAACAACATGAATGCATCAGTTATCAATGCAACAACAACTCTTCCTCAAGCACAACGCCAACAACAAATTACTCAGTCACAATATGTCCAACCTATTTCCTTTCAACAATTAACGAGAGCTATGTCAAGTAATTTACCATGCTTTTTGATAGAATTTGATCCATCTGTAGATCGTAAAGAAATTTCATCTGATATTACAGCGGCTAATTTATTAGAACAATATTTCTCATCTATGAACTATGATATTACATTTTCTCTTGTTGGTCATACTGGTAATAAATTAAAAGTGGGCGTTAATAATAAAGAAAATTATGCTAATTTAATGTCAGCAAATATATGACCGGATAAAGTTGGAAATGTAGATATTATGGTTATCAAGCCATCGGATAGAAGAGGAAAGAAACTCAAAGAATGGATAGAGAATAACAATATGGCATACATTCCATCCACATTTAACTCATCACGTTGATCATTACGTCATATTGACCTTACATTTTTTAATGTACAAGGAATGAGAGCAGAAACCCTCAAGTATGGTACAAGTGATCACTGGCCTGTTTTGGTAACATGTGAGAATATTGGTTTTGATACATCAAATATGTTCCCACGTGTACAGTGGCTTCCATACCAAGCAATACTGGCTCTCCTTCAACAGTATTGGATAAATGAGCAAGAAAGTGGGACGAGTGTTGATGAATGGTATGCACAATATGTGCGCTTTCTTGCTGGACTAAAGAAGAGATTAACACAGTGGAAGGAAAGAGAAAAATATCGTTCTTCCCTTCCCACGCATATTATCGAACAACTGAAGAATGTGAATAAAGTTCGCTGTAATAATAAAGTTCGTTATAATAACGAATCGTTATTATCGTCAACGAAAGAAAGGGAATGTTGAAGAAGAAACTAGAGTCTTATTACGAGTTATGTTTCGTGAAGTTAAAATGGCTATTGCAAAATATAAAACAGAAAAATGGCAAAATTTTCTCTCCACTATTCAACAAGCCCATGATAGATCTGATAAAGCTTTCTGGAATTATCTTTCACGTATATACAAACCAAAGACTCTTCCTTTTTCCAAACTGGCAGTAAATGGAAAATCAATATCATATGAACAAGAAATAAGCGAAGAACTTTTTAATTATTATAATGATCAATTCAAAGAACCTCAGTTAGACAGTAGCGATGCACATGATGTTCAAATAGAGAGAGAATACAATGAATTAAAGAAAATTCTTGATGCATCAAATGAAACTGTGCGTATGACAAACACTTTAGAAATTACAAAGTATATCAAAAAATTGAAAGGAAAAGAGTCCTCTGGCTATGATGATGTATCGAATTATATGTTGAAATTTCTTCCACCAGCATATGTCTCCTGTCTTACAAAATGTTTCAGTGTGTGGTTATCTGAATGTCGTTATCCTGAACCATGGAAAATAGCCAGAATTGTAACTTTAAATAAACTAAAAGCTGGAGTACCTCGATGTGATCAAACACGTCCAATCTCATTACTTTCTACACATTCAAAACTGTCTGAGAAAGTTCTTCTAGAAAGAGTTCGACTATGGGCAGAGTCACAACAATTAATACCACCAGAACAATCTGACTTCTGTCCTGGACGTCTATTACCAACTCGAGTTCTATCCATCTACCAAGAAGTGAAGAATAATTTTGCTGGTAATATTCCAACTCTTGCTATATATTTTGATTATCAAAAAGCCTATGATAAAGTGTGGCATATTGGATTTTTAGTTAAATTATACCGGCTTGGAATGCCTTTTGGACTATTAAAGATTATTGCCTCATGGTTGTCAGGAAGAAAAGCTTACGTTACCTTTGGAAAAACGTACTCAAGCACCTTTTTTCGTCTATATTAGGCTACCACAAGGAAGTTTTTTAAGTCCTTATCTATTTATTGTCTATCACACTGATTTAGTATCGTGTCTTGGAGCTCATTCTAGTCATAGTTTTGCTGATGATTTAAATGTTCTTATACGATCTCCTATATATAAAGACATTAAAGTCATGATATCTTATCTTGAAGAAGAAGGTACAAGAGTATGTAATAGAGTGGCCGCTTATTTTAAAAAAATAGAAACAACCTCTAAATATACCGAAAACGGTTGCACAGTTATTTTATTCACAAGTCATTGCTCCCGTCGTCAAAATATTTATGGAAGGTCAAGAGATCGAAATGGTAAAAATCTTTAAATATCTTGGCTTTACATGGGCTAGCAAACTTTCTCTTAAACCAACTGTGGACAAATGTCTTGAAAACATTCAAAAGAGTTATACAAAATTAAAATGGATGAAAGGTGGTAAAGCTGTTTCTTTGGCTGTTTTAAGAAAATGTTTCTTCGCCTTTAGTTTTCCACATTTTGCATGATCTTGGTCAATCACTCTTCTACTCAGATATATTTTATTGGGATGGTTATAAAAAATGGAAGGATATAGGACACTTTTTAAGGATGAAGCGGGTAAAGGACTTGCGATTAAGACATGAATCATTGCTGTTAAAATGGATTGAATTTATTGAAAATATGTGATTTTGGTGTTGCTTGTACCTTCATTTCCTTTCTCATTCTTCCCTCTCCTTTTTACCCTTTAGTTTACGCTGTTTATTTCTAAGCTATTTGTTCTTTATGCTTATTGCAGGGCTTATCGGTAGAATTTACGTATAGGATATTATGAAAGGTTCATTGTAAGCACTTCCGAGTGTAATAATAAAATTTTAAATTAAAAAAAAAGTATCTAGGAATGAGTATTCGACATTTCAGCAACAGATTTTGACTCTTTTAGTACCTATAAGAATACTCGATTTATACTTGCTGCCCAAAACCAGACAAAGAAGAAAGTAGGGAAGTAGTAAAAAGCACTGAATATGCCAGACTCAAAAAATACAACCAAATTATAATGGATTGGTATACTGGCAATAATTTTTGTGACATTGAACCTTACGTAATTGACTGATTGACAAATAATTGTATTTTTTTCTTCGCGATAATAGACCATCTGCCTAATTGTTTCTATAGATTCAGATCATTCCTACTCGCTCGTTAACGGCCACCCAAATATATAAATAACACTAATTTTCTTCGAATAAGTTAGAATTTTTTCTCTTTCTCCTATGTAAATTAATTAATAAATTAATGCAACGAAGCTTAATTAGAGAAAGTGGTGTTAGGCTTCGTGAGAGCGAACCAAAAAGGCAAAAACACTATTCTTGAGGAAGAAAGTCAAAAACAAAACTTCTTTATATTCATAAAACGGTGCGTTAACAGTGAAAAAACAGTCTGAAGACGTGACTGTCTTTTGATCGTAAAACGGCTCGGGTTAAATAGCGCTAAAACGGTGTGACATCGGTCTTGGTGGTCAGAAAACATTCCATTAAAGAGACTGTTTTTATCAGAGCTGGTACGAGACACTCCGGATTGGGGAAGGAGGAAGGTTCAACATTTTTTCTAAAAATTAAACTGATTTTCCACAAAGCTTTTGGAGAGGGAGGGGGAGTCGACTGAAAATTTTTCGCCGCACGAACTTTTTCTGCAAACATTTTTTTTCATTTGGCGACGAAAAAATATTATTTTCAATTATTGGGATGAGGAGGGGGGGATGGATTACCCGCCGGATCACCTCTACTTTTATGGATCAGGGCATCAGTTAATCGATATATAAGCTTTTTGATAATTGATTTATCACTTGTTTGTTTATTGGAATAAAACCTTTTATATCATAACAGAAAATACAGAAATAAATGGGTTTTTTTTTTATTGACAAAACTAGTCAAGATTCTATTGATATATCGACATGAGCTAAACTAGTCTACACAGATAGTCATAATATCTATCGATAATATCGAATAAAAAACTGACATTTTTTCCTTTATACGTGATATTGTGCCTGTGTATTCGTATCGCAAGTCTGTAAATAGCAGCATGTCTACTAGAATTTTAATCACAACAATGATCAGATGTTAATCTAAAATATTTTTATATAAAAATAATTTTATTGACTAAAAAGCAGAAAAGTTAATAACCATTGATTTATATTCTCTCGATTGAAATCTATATAGAAAAGTAATATTTGTATTAGAAAACAACGAAATAAGAAGGCAAATAAACATTGGGAAAGAAATGACTTTGGATCGACAACATATTATTAATTTAATTTCCCAATAGCGTTCAAAATATAAAAAAAAGAAATTTATTACTTAAATATATGAGCTATATAAAATCCGTAGACTCTTTTTTCTTTTTTATTTCTTTACATTTTTCTTTTACTTTTAGATAAAACTTTTTCAGTTATATACAAAAATTAATGTTGATTTATAAATGCGTCTACAGAATGGAAAAGAATAAGTTAATGTACTATGTATGATTTACATGATACTTTTATCTATTTGTCATAAAACATTTTTTCTTTAGATTTCTGATCAATTAGAAGCTCTTACCAAATTGCTATTAATATATAGAATAATAGTTTATCATAAGAGAAACGATTTTTATACACAGTGAGAGAAGAAAAAAGAAGAAGAGAAGAAATATTAATTTATCAATATATTCTGGTTTTTCAAACTAAATAAACAAATATGTTTTTTTACTACAAATATGTTAATTTACTTTAAAAATAGTGTTTATCAAATCATAATTGAAATATGTTTACAAAATATAATATTCGTAAGTAGTATGTTCTTTACATTTATGTATTTTCTATTTAAAATGATTATATTAATCTTGTTGTCATTCATATGATATGATGTTATAGTCTTGATTCTAAAAAACTTAATTTATCAATTGAAGAAGATAGATAAAAAAAAATTTAAAAATATATTTTCAATTTAATCGAAAATGATATAATTTTAATACTAACGCGTTTTTTGTACATGTATAAAGATAGAGAATGTTTAAATGAAGAAGTGAAAAAATCTGTTGAACTCAGACATACGTCTAGTAACAGATTCATTCGTATAATTGTCAATTATTAGTTGATAACCTTCTGTCAACTTTCACGAGAGAAAATAAGTTAATGATAAATTAGATAGAATGTCTTTTAATTAATATGTTTATTAGTTTATATACCGTCTGGATATCTGTCAAAATAAAGATAAGAGAGAAAAATCTAAGCATCTTTACACTTTTAATAAGAATATTAATATATTTCTGTATCTATAGATAGATGTATACATTTTCAAATCAATTCTACTTTTTATTTGTAATTTTTTTTTTTTTTTTTTGTTAAAAATACTATAAAATATTCACGTTCTACTTAAAATCTTTTATTTTTGAAAAACTTGTTGAGAATTTTATACGATCAAAAAATAACAATGTCTATTTAGAATATATATATATATTGTGATACATGTTTGCATTTCTTATAAAATGTAATGTCACATTTCGATAGATCGTGTCAAATATATTTCATTGATAGAATAAACGTGAATATCATGTAGATACTTTCGATATTTTCTTTTAGATTGTATAGTGATTTATCATTAATTTTATCATTAAAAACTCATCATGGGAACGATTTTCACTTATATATATATTTTTTTTATTTGCAGACATTTGGTTCTACTTCCCATACTCATCATCATTTATAAATTAATATTTTTGAAAGCTGCTTTTAAAGAATAAGATTACATAAGTTTGTTTTTTCTTTTTCTCTTCTTCTTCGACTCTAACAGTGTCAATTATCATTATTTCTATATTAGATATATTATAAGCATAACTTTGTCTAATCTTGAATGTCAAGACCTTTGTGACTTTTTTTTCTATTAAGTAAAATATAATTAAACAAATACTCTTTGAGAATAACATAAAATAATCATTTGATCGTATAAAAATCATTTTAAATAGTTGTAAAATTCAAATAAATATTTAAATTATAAAAAAAAAAATAAAAATTATGTATATATGTTGATTATTAAATTTAAACAATTTTTAAACGTTATTTAAAAAGTTAAATTAAAATTTCGAATTTATATTAAAATAATACAATTTAAAAAATGAGTTAATAATTTAAAAATTAAAATATTTTAAATTATAATAATATAAAATTTTAGGAATATATTAAAATCAAAAATAGATAAAATTATTTTACAATGATTATATACAATTTTTAAAATGAAATAATAATATAAAAAAATTAGATCATTAAAAATTTTTATATTTATTTTCGAATTTTTAAATAGAAATTAAACATAAATTATAGTTGATGATAAATTAAATATTAATTTTTATCTATTTCTCTAGATAAATGAAATGACAATGGAGATTTAAGATTTCATTCTTCATTCCAATATTCTTCTCCGTTTTAATGAAAAAACACGTTTTTCATACAAAAATAATTTCGATACTGAAAAGAAATAAAAATTATTGAAAGAAAAAAAAGAAAGAAAGAGAAATAAAAGAGAAAAAACAGTCCCTAAAGAAGACAATATTTTTTTTTTTTATCACTATGTAATTCAAATAATATCGAGATATTTCTACTAGTTCTAAACAAAAAAAAAAGAAAAAATGTTGAGGAAAAAAAATATATTAAATTAACACTAACAAACAGAATTAAAAAATTAGAGTAATAAATATTTTTGATGTATTTACAACAGTTGTAAATAAAGAAAATTAATAAAAAAAATGTTATTGACTCAAACTAAAGTAATAGTCATAGAATTTATTTGTAGAAAGAAAAATCTTAAAGAAATCAAGATAAAATTTCTAAGATCTTAAGTTTAACTATACAACTAGAGATTATTAAACTGTTTATATTTATTTTGTTTTAGTTTTTCTAGAATAATTTCATTTTACAAATTGAAAATGAAACCATTATCAACATCCTTTGCAATTAGAAGACTTTTTACTATCGATAATATTCGTCATATTATTCATCCTTTTCTAACAGAATATGAAACTCCAAAAGTCGTTATTATTCATAGTTTAACATTTGCTGCTATGTTACGTGTAATGCAAACGTTACTATTACTTTATGGTGTATTCTATTTACTTATATATAAACAAGGATATCAAAAACATGATTCATCAATTATTAGTTCAATAACATTAAAAGTAAAAGGAATTGGTTATGTTACAACATCATTAAATCAAACATCGGTTATTGATGGTGCTGATTATATTGTACCACCATCAGAAAATAATGCCATATTTATTATGACAAATTTTGTTCGAACAGATCAAAAACGAACAAAATGTGGAGAATCAAAATATACAAAAGAATCTGTGTGTACAAATGATCAAATATGTACAAAATTATCAGATGAGTTTTTACCAAATGCAAATGGACGTTGGACAGGAAAATGTCTAATGGAAAATGAATATTTAAATCAGACAATGACGACAAATCAGGTATTAACAAATCAAACTGGACGATGTGAAATTGAAGGTAATTAACTATTTCTTCGTATTGAATAGAAGTTATTTTTCTTCTGTTTACCTATACACGAACGATATTGAAAATGATATGATCAATTGTCTATATCCAATCATCAGGCTATTTTTGCACTATTATTGATCTATTTTCTAACGACAGTTTTTTTCTAATCTATAATATTATAAAGACTAAATTCTAAAATTTTAATAGTTTTGGTTTCTTTGGACTACATATCCCTAGTACCAGTTCCAGAACTAGAGATCACTGTTCGAAAATGTCATGTTAACAGACAGTTTTACAAACGATGTGAATTTCAGTTTTACGGACATACAGTTAAATATCTGTTTTTAGCAGATAATTCACGATGAAATATCGGGCAATAAATGTTGACCGTTAACGGGTAATTTTTTAACAGTTTTTTAGCCGACTCAAATGCTAGTTTTTAGTCATACAGTTAACAGTTTACGGATAAGTTATAAAATGTCAGTTCTCATTGACCTGAGCTATTTCATTTTACTATGAGGTATCAGACAACATTTATGACATTTAATCTTGCATAGCAAGGACGTAATATAACGTAATCCCGTTTCATTCTTGCTGAGATCTGGTCGCGAACCCAATTTTTTTCCGTGTAACGAAAAAATGCTGATCTTGGCAAAATAAAATCGCGATCTTATAATTGTAATCGCGTTCTTAATCAAGTTCGTTATGTGATCCTAGTTTCATTTGTGTTTCAAGAGAATGACGCGACCGCGGCAGGATTACAGCAAGATCATGTCTAATTCGAGACAAGATCTTGAGAAGATTTTTCCTTCGTCTACCCCTTGAGGAAAATTTTTTATTATTATATCATTCTATTCCTTAAACTATCAAAGTACAAAATCAATCCTTGCACGAAACTAGGATCACACTGACTTCGTATTTTCCTCTATCTCAGTCTGTAACGATGTAATGTTCTTTTATTTCGTCCATCCGTTGAT